CTCTGTATGCTGAGAGGGCCTAGGAGAAATTACAACTCATAGCAGTGAGCACACAGAGCCCAGATCTTGCTTTCTAAAGACCATCTCCAATATAAGGTGCCACAGCTTCCTGGAAAAGTGGTAGATTCCAGAGGTGGGGCAGAGAAAATATCACAAGTGCCTGGGACATCTTGTGGATCTGGAAAATAAGAAAGAGTTTGAAAACTGGTGGGAATACATCAAAAGGACACAGAAACTGACGTGAAAAAGCTCCCAATGGCAAAAGCCGGAATAATTTGGGGAACAAAATAAAAAATGGTGTATTGGGTTATAACCCATAGAATAAAATAAATATTCATGAGTCTATCCTGGTATAAAAAATGAGTAAATGGGAGAGAAGTGACAAAATTTCCTTACAGAATAATTCAAATTAATAAATGTAGAAGAAATGAGGGAAATACAAAATCACTGTAGGCAAGCCGCAGAGTAATAATTATGCAGGGAAGGCCCACTGATGGACACTAAAGTCATTGGACAACAGTTGTAAGATAAATAGAATATTTGCATATACTCAAAGGCTCTTCCCCCAGATATTTACCAACTACAAAGGAGAAATGATAATTTTACATTGGAGAAATATGGGAGACAATACCTTAACCAAGTTGATCAAGGTTAGTATCCCAAGTAATAATAGATTTTGGCAGGAGATTCCCCCGATAGGATGCATCACAAAGAAAAGAACACAACATTACTTCTGTGGTATTCTTGCCAAAAATCATAACCTCAATCTAGTAATGAGCAAAAATCAGACAAACCAAATCAAGAGACATTCCACAGATGAACTGACCAGGTCTCACCAAGTGATTCAAGGCCATGAAAGACAAAGAAAGACTGAGGAACCGGTACTGAGTGGAGTTGTTTAGGGAGATACAACAAATAAACAATGGATTCCTGGATTGGATCCTGGAACAGAAAATGCACAGCAGGAGAAATTTGTATGAAATCTGTATTTCATTTAATAGTGTTATAACACTATTAATTTCCTGTTTTGTTTTGTTTTGTTTTGGTGAGGAAGATTGACTCTGAGCTAACATCTGTGCCAATCTTCCTCTATTTTATATGTAGGATGCTGCCACAGCATGGCTTGATGAGTGATGTGTTGGTTCAAGCCTGAGATCTGAACTGACGAATGCCCGGCCACTGAAGCAGAGCATGTGAACTTAACCACTACACCACCGGGCCAGCCCCAGTTTCCTGGTTTTGATAGTTGTATAATGCTTATATAAATTGTTAACTTTGCAGCAGTCTTCTTCAACCTAGGATGATCTTGCTCCCAGGGGACATTTGGCGATGTCTATAGACATTTCGATTTTCATGACTAGCGGGGTACTACCGGCATCTAGAGGGTAGAGGCCATGGATACTGCTGGGGGAAGGGTGTGTGTGAACTCTCTGCACTGTTTTTGCAACTTTTCTGTGAGTTTAAATTATTTCAAAATTAAAAGTTAATGTTAAAAAAAGGATTCTGCAAATGCCTTGAGAGGAAATCCTTTAGATGTTGGGCATTTTGCTCTGAACCCTCCTTCTCTCAAGTGTCTTAACTCTTAAATTCCAGTTGTCTTAGAAGTTACGAGCTCCCATTTTTCTCTCTCCAGCATTGTGCAATTACCAAATTCTCTGCTGGACTCTGCATTTTCACGGCAGCATTCTGCTTGCATTCTCAGCCTCGTGCTCAACACCAAGAGTTGGAAAACGCAGCTTTCACTTCTTTCATTAAATTCCTTTTCTCCTGGAAGTCTCGGCCCCTGAAGTCCTGGTAGCATTGGCAAGTCCTACAAGCATTTAAAAACAATGTCATCCAGATCTCCTATTTGCTCTCTGTAGGACCATTGGTCTTCCACAAGTGACTCCATCATGGCAGAAAATATAAGTCCGATTGCCATCTTAGCAGCTTTATTGAGGCATAATTTACATATCAGAAAATTCACTTGTTTTAAGTATACAGTTCAATAATTTTTGTATATTTACCAAATTGTGCATCACCATAATCCAGTTTTAGAATTTTTCTAAATTTTCCAATTTCTAAAATTTTCAACTTTAGAATTCCCGCCCCCCGATTTTTTCATGCACTTTTCAGTTAGTCTCATTTCCACCTCAGCCCCCGACAATACTAATTTACATTCTGTCTCTACACATTTGCCTCTTCTAAACTTTTCATATAAATGCAGTCATATAACCTGTGGTCTTTTGTGACTGGGTTCTTTCACTTAGCATAATGTTGTTGAGGTTCACCCATGTTGTAGCACGTATTTTACGTTGTTTCTTTTTATTGCCAAATAGCGTTTGTTGTGTAGGTATACAACATTGTGCTTATCCATTCACCAGTTGATGGACATTTGGATTGCTTCACTTTTTGGTTGTGAATATTGCTGCTATAAACATTTGTGTGCAAGTCTGCATGAACATATGTTTTCATTTTTCTTTAGTAGATACCTAGGAATGGAACTACTGGGTCATAAGATAAATTTGTGTTTGGCCTTTTCAGAGCCTGCCAAACTGTTTTCTAAAGTGACTGCACCATTTTACATTTCCGTCAGCAGTGAATAAAGATGCCAGTTTCTCCTCACCAAAACTTAGTATTGTCTGACATTTTGATTACAGCAATCCTAGTGAATGTGAAGTGGTATCTCATTGTAATTCTAATTTATGTTTACTTAATGATTAATAATATTGAGCATCTTTTCATGTGCTTATCAGCCATTTTGTATATCTTCTTTGGGAAAATTTTTATTTAAATCTTTTGCCTATTTTTAATGGGCTATTTATCTTCTTAGTATTGAGTTGTCAGAGTTCTTTATATACTCTGGATACAAATGTTCTTTAGGACATATGATTTGCAAATATTTTCTCCCAGTCTGTGGCTTGCCTTTTTATATTTTTAATGGTATATTTTGAAGTGGAAAGGTTTTAACTTTGATTAAGTTCAATTTATCTTTTTCTCTTATCACTTGCGCTTTTGGTGTTTTATCTAAGGATTCTTAGCCTAACTCAAGGTCAAAAAGATTTACTCTATTTCTTCAAAGAAGTTAATAGGTTTAGTTCTTACATTTAGGTCTATCATCCATTTTGAATTATTTGTGTATGGTGAGAGGGAAGGTCTGGCTAAATCAGTCTTTTTCCAGGTAGATATCCAGTGTCCCAGTACCATCCTTCCCCCCCATTGGTTTGCCCCCATTACTTTTCAAGTAGGATTTTTACCTCCATTTCATTTTCTATTTGTCGTCTTGTCTTTAAAAGGACACATTTTTATTTTAACTTGTGTTCAGTCACTTTGCTGAACCATCTAATTTGATTCTTTTTTTTATATGTAGTAAAAATCATCTTCAACTAATGATAATTTCACATATTCCTTTCCAATAATTTTCTTCTGAATGTATCTTTATCTTATTGCATTGATTTGGAATTCCAAAGTGATATTGGAAAAAAATGAATTTAGTCATTCTTATCATAGTCTTGACTTGAAGTACGTCTAGTGTTTCACTATTTAGTATAAAATATTTGCTGTGAGTTTTGGAAGATATATTCCCCAGCCTGTTTGAGAACTTTCTTACTATCCTAATTTACTATATATCACTAAAAAACAGGAACAGCTGTTAAATTCTACTCAATGTCTCTTTTCTTTTTTTGCATCTGATGAAATGCTTATGTGAGATTTCTTTGTTTAACAATTAATGTAATAAATCATGTTAACAGACTTCCTAGATTTGAATTACAGTATGGAATAAACCCACTTCTTCACAGTATGTTATCCTTTTTTATTTTGTTGGATTCACTGTATTAATACTTGGAATTCCTTTAACTTGTACCAGTAAGTGAGGGGAAAGTGTAATTTTCAGTTTTTCCTATGTTTATCTGGCTTTGTTTTTAGTCTCAGTATCATAAATTTGTCTGGGAAATTCTCCATATTTTTCTACGCTATCAGATAGTTTAAATGACCCGTGAAAGTTGACAAATAACTCTGTGCCTGAAAACTTTTTGTGGTAGTTATTTGAGAAGCTTTTAAATTTCTTTTAAAATTATTAGTATAATAGGTTTTTACCATCTGTCCCTTTTGGGAGATGATTTTGGTAACATGTTTCCCTAAAAATAATATTTATTTGTTTTGTATGTTCAAATGATTGGCATGATGCTGTGCAGATATTATTTTGTTATGATTTAAAATTCTTTTACATTAATCTGTTTACTATCCTCTTTTCTCATTTCCGTTGTTGGTAATGTATATTTATATTCTCTTTCTCTCAGTTTAGTTTATTGTCTATTTTATTAGTCCTTTCAAAAAACTTCTGTTTTGGTTTCCATAAATTTCTGCTGCTTACTAATCTTTTATCTCTATTTTGTAGCACACATCACTTGCTCAAAAGAAGTCTGTTGAAAAGCATGTTTTCAAAATGGAGAAAATGGTAGAAGCAGAAACGCAGAAAAAGAAATGTGTAAGAAATCCTATATTTCTTAGACATCAATCCTTAAGTTACTTTCTTAACTAATCTTTTAAGAAACATCTTATTTTTCCCTTTTCACGAGTAACTTATATTTTTAAAATTTAAAAAACAAAGATTGCATCAATCTAGGTGTTTAAACTGCCTTTGTTTCGAAAAATCCTCAGTCAAACCATCATTTCTAAGTAGAGTTACTTGAAAAGCATTCAGACTCTTGGAGACACTCCTGAGGACTTTTAGGATGGAAAGCCCACGAGGTGTTCTGCCCTCTTTAAGGCTCATCTGAAACCGAGTCAAGCGTGATAATGGACGGGGCTGTGTGACGGAGCGTCCTGCTTCTTTGCCAAGTGAAAACTTAATTGTTTATTATTTTGTAGCCGCCTGCTCCTCAGTTCCCCTCACCACACTCTAGGACTCCTCTCAGAACCCTCCCGTGGCTGCTCTTGGTTTATCCCAGAGGAATGGCGTTTGCAGCTGTCGCCTGGCCCGCCCCCCCCCGCCCCCCCCGCCCCCCCCGCCCCAGAACAAGGGGAGATCGCGGGTCCATCCTGGGCCCTTGGTAGGAACGTCGGCTCCGGATGAACACATTTGGAGACGACGTTTGCCAGAGAATCGCTCCCCCCTTTCTGCAGACGTTAGGCAATATTCCTCCGCTTTGTCTTCATTTCCAGGAAGAGAAGGTAGATGTTCGAAACCCATGGTCCTGCGGGGTGGACTGACGCCTCTGCAGACGACACCGGGAGGGCTCGCCCTGGAAGGAGCAGGGCTCAGAAAGGCACAGAAACCAAGCCAAGCTCTGCTCTCAGTCTCCAGCCATGTCTTCTGCGTGGGAAAAAAAAAGTACACTTGATACATCATCTCAAATAGCCACAACTAGGAGAATTTCAGGACTGCCTTACTTCTGAATTCTTCGCTTTGATCCACGGGGTGGGGGTGGGGGTGGGGGTAGGGGGTGGGCTAAGGTGGGGGCAAAGGAAAGCCCTTCCGATGGCCCTTTCCTCTCAAGAGTAGGGAGCTCTCTTTAAGACAAGGGTGGGAATCCACTGGAATAAATTCTCAAGTCCTTCTTTTCAAAGTCATGTACAGCAGAAGCGACCCCGGCCCTGGAAACCCGGGTCCTGTGCGACTTGAACTTTCTTAGTCACAGTTTTGTTTTGTTTTGTTTTTTTCCTCAAGGGATTAAACAGAAGTTGGACATAAAAGGACTTTTTAAGTCAGCTTGCCATTAGCCTCTCCCTATGAAATTTCTAGCTTAGTCATTACCGTTCACTTAGCAACACTCAAGCGGTGGGGGCAGAAAGTTGCCTTTTGCTCCCACAAAAGCAAACAATCTTTTCCTACGCAGGCGATGCCATTATGGAATCATTTTTCCTCCCGCCTCGGCCGATAGATAAATAAGGTGAGGCGCCCCAATGCTGCTTCTGAGCTCTGGGGCCCGCTCGGTTCCCAGGCCCCAGGGGTGCGGGCGGGGCGGGCGGGGGGGCCCGGGGCGGGGGGGGGGGGGGGGGGGGGGGGCTGCCCACATCTGTCGGGGGCCGCCCCACAGCTGCGCAGGCCCGGCCCATCCATCACCCGCCGAGGCTGCGGGCGCTTCCCGGGCGGGCGGCCCCCTCGCCGGCCGGGTCTAGACGCCCCGCCCGCACGCCCCGCGCTATCAGTCAACTTCTGGGTGAACTCTGTTTCACCTCCTGACCTCCCATTCAACCCAGACAAACATGAAAGTGTGAACTGGGCCTCCGAGGGGGCAAGGGGCCTCTTAACCCACTCAGCTCCTTCTCCAGCCCCACATCAAACGCGCGCAGCCTCCCCCGACGGCTGCCATTTGTCCTTACACGTGTACCTGGGGCTCCCGGGCGCTGCGCCGCCTCGGCCACCTGAATAAACGGCCGGGCTCCAGCCACTCGGGGCCACCGCCGGAGGCGGCAGGGATGCAGGGCAGCCCAGCAAGGGCGGCTCAGCCTACGGTGAAAACGCAGCTCCAGATCAAACCGCACCCCTGCCACCTGCCAATTCTTGCAGGGTTTCCAGGAAAGAAGATGCGCCCAAAGCGTCCCCCATTTCTCGCGAGGAAAACCACAGGCGAGCTCGTCCTGCAGGGCTGGGCTGGGCTGGGCTGGGCTGGGGGAGGAGGGGGCCACACGAGCGGCTCAGCTCCCTGCCTGGGCCCGGAGCAGAGTGGCGAGGGGATTGTTGCAGCTGTCTTACTTTAACAAGTCTGATGGAGGAGGCACTGAGACAGTAAGTGACTTTTTCCCCGTTTCCTTCAAAAGTCAGGTGTTAAAAAGCAAAGGAGTTCTTCCAGGACGGCCCGCTGTTTCTTCTGTCTCCCAGAGGAGGCGGTGGGCATCCCCTTGGTCTGAGGGCAGCTCTGCTCTGCCTGCCTCACTTCTCCTTCCTCCCTACTCCCCGGCTTGCCAGAAAGCCCTGTCATTCCTGCCAGGTCTTTGAGTCAACCCATCAACCCTTGAGGTGCAGAGAACTGACTCCACTTCCTCACCATGGCGATGCTCTGGCTCCAGGTTAGGCGTCCATGACGTCTGGTAAAGATCTACCCAACCCTTGGGTTTGTATGGCTTCCCTTGACGCTAACACACTAAGGGTAGGTCGTTAAAGTTCTTTCTAAGAAATGCTTTTCTTCAGTGGTAAAGAGAAAAGAAGAGTTCCTTTAGGTTAAGGGTCCGGATGGAGAGTGAAGGACGGGGAGGCCGCCGCTCTAAGGCACTGCACAGTGCTGGTGTCAGGGCTGCAGCATCAGCTGCCCGCCGGGTGGGCCCTCCTGGCTGGCAGCACACTGCCTCCGGGGAGCCTCCAGGTAGAGGTGAGAGAGGGGCTGGGGGTGTGGTGGCCGGCGAGGTGACCCCCACCTGCTGTGCTCTGGGGTGGAGGGAACCACCATCAGAGCATTCCCAGGGCTGCTGGGGCAAGCCCAGGGCCAAGCCTGAGAGGCACAGCTCCTGGGACGCACGTGGCCCATAGGAGAGCTCTACTGTCCAATTCCTTAAGGCTTCTAGGAAATGAAATTTTTGAATAGAAATAAAACCATGGCTTCCAAGCGACTTGTCGAGCATTATTGCTAAATGTATTGAAATATACTGATCATTGATAGGCTGCCTTAAACTACCAACAGCACCTGGATTCTGGATTCTAGAACTCTCGTGATTTAGTTTCCATACATGTGAATATATTTCCGCCTCCTTAAAGTGTCAAGTTGTGATAGTGTGTCAGTCCTCTTATATCTTGTGTGCTCTGTTGTAACCTGTGTGAATGCAGGTATCTTAGGGCTGTAAATAGTCCTGAGAATGGACTAAAGTCATGGTACAATTGGAATCTATCTCAGGACTTTTAATTGAATAATTTGATATAGATATAAAATATGACTTCATATTTCTGTAGTCATATGTTACACACCAGTTCAAACATATGGAAGAACAATTATAAACTTCATTAATTAGAATAGTGCTGTTTTCAAAATAATCATTCGTTTTGGGTTGAATTCTATCCCCCCCAAAAAGATGTATTGAAGTAATCTCTGGTACCTGTGAACGCAACCTCATCTGGAAATAGGGTCATTGTAGACATAGCTAGTTAAGATGAGGCCATAGTGGAGCTGGGCAGGCCTTTAATCCAATATGACAGGTATCCTTACAAGAAGAGAGAGATACTGAGGTGGAGACAGGGAGAGGATGGCCGCTTGACAATGGAGGCAGAGAATGGAGTGAAGCCTCTGCAAGCCAAGGAATGCCAAGGCTGGCAGGCAGACACCAGGAGCCATGAGAGGCCGTGAAGGATTCCTCCATGAGTTTCAGAGGGCACATGGCATGGCTTACACCTTGGTTTCAGCCTTCTGGCCTCCAGAAATGTGAGAGAAAAAATTCCTGCTGTTTTAAGCTGCCTAGTTTGTGGCACTTTGTTACAGAAGCCACAGGAAACATACAAACCTCTAAGAAAGGGATATGATTGTCTCCCATTTCCCAGATTTATCTGATCATACAACCTCTTCATTTTCTCCAGCATATCTTGAGGGCGTTTGGTCAACCCAGTGTGGCCACCCCTACCTCTTGGATGGCCTTTCGTCTTCATTTGATTCCTACATACCTCAAGAGCAGTGTGCTGGACAAACGACGACCCCCAAAGATGTCCACATCCCAGTCCTGGAAACTGTGACTACGTAGATTACACGGCAAAGGAGAGAGAAGGTTACAGGTGGAATTAAGGCTGATAATCTGTTGACTTTAAAATAGGAAGATAAATGGTGTGCAAATATTTTTTCCCAGTTGGTGGGTTGTCTTTTCGTTTTTTTCGTGGTTTCCTTTGCTTTGCAGAAGCTTTTTAGTCTGATGCAGTTCCATTTGTTAACTTTTTCTTTTTTTCCCTTGCCTGAGTAGACATGGTATTCTAAAAGATGTTGCTAAGATCAATGTTAAAGAGAGTACTGCCTATATTTTCTTCTAAGAGTTTTATGGTTTCAGGTCTTACATTCAAATCTTTAATCCATTTATCAGACAAAGGATTGACCTCCAAAATACATAAAGAACTCATACAAGTCAACAAAAAAAAGCCAAACAACCCAATCAAAAAATGGGCAGAGGATATGAACGGTCATTTTTCCAAAGAAGATATACAGATGGCTAATAGACACATGAAACAATGTTAAACATCACTAATTATTAGAGAAATGCAAATCAAAACTACAATGAGATATCAGAATGGCTATAATTACCAAGACAAAAAACAACAAATACTGGAGAAGATGTGGAGAAAAGCGAACCCTCATACACTGCTGGTGGGAATGCAAGCTGGTGCAGCCACTATGTAAAACAGTATGGAGATTTCTCAAAAAATTGACTAGAACTACCATATGATCCAGCTATCCCACTACTGGGTATTTATCCAAAGAACTTAAGATCAATGATCCAGAGACTTTTGCGCCCTATGTTCATTGCAGCATTATTCACAATAGCCAAGATATGGAAGCAACCCAAGTGCCCATTGACTGATGAATGGATAAAGAAGATGCATATATGTACAATGGAATACTACTAAGCTGTAAAAAAAAAGACAAAATCATCCCATTTGCAACAACATGGGTGGACCTTGAGGGTATGATGTTAAGCCAAAAAGCCAGACAGACAAAGACACATACTGCATGATTTCACTCATATGTGGAAGATAACAAATTCATGGATGAAGAGAACAGATTAGTGGTTACCAGAGGGAAAGGAGGTTGGGGGTTGGGACAAAGGGATAAAGGGGCACATATGTATGGTGATGGATAAAAATTAGACTACTGGGGGTAAGCATGATGAAGTGTATTCAGAAACTGATGAAAAATAATGTGCACCCGAAATTACACAATGTTATAAACCGTCATGATCTCAACAAAATTACTTGGAAAAAAAATAGAGAGATTATCCAAGTGGGCCCAGCGTAATCCCCAGGGTACGTAAAAGTGGAAAGGGGATAAGAAGAGAGAGCCAGAGAGACAGCAATGTGGGAAGGGCTCAGCCTGAAGATGCTGGCTTTGAAGAGGAAGGAATGGCCCACAAGCCAAGGAATGCAAGTGGCTTTTAGAAGCTGGAAAAGGCAAGGAAATGGATTGTCCCCTAGCATCTCCGGAAACAAATGCAGCCTACTGACACCTTGATCTTAGTACAGTGAGATTCCTGTTGGACTTCTGATGCCCAGCACGGTAAGATGATAAATTTGTGTTGCTTTAAGCCACTAATTTTGTGGTAATTTGTCACGTCTGCAATAAAAAAAATTACAAGCAGTAAGTCAAATAGTTCTTTCTCGTTTTTCAGAAAATTTGGATTTTGATATGGAGAGTTGAATTTTAGACTTTTTAGAATCTGTTCCAGAATATTATCTATGTCTGCGTTAATTTGTCTCATTTTATACTCAAAGAAAGACAATCTACATGAGTGTTTGCAACAAGACAAGCATATCATAGTGTAAAACCATGTCCTCCCTGGTGGTTCCTGGAAAAGATGTTGTATACATCGGAGCAGTAGGCTGTAATGTTTCTGTTTTAGATAAGCATTTGTGTTCCTGTTGCTATTTTCAGGAGCTCGAGATCATGTAAATCGTTTAATGTGATTGGAAGTGTAGTGATGAAAACATGGTGTAGGCTTCTTCTCATTCATCACGGATTTGCCTTCACAGGTTAGAGCACTGACTCCATTACTTCTCCATTTCCCACCTCCCTCGTCTCTGCTCCAAGTTCTTTGTTATTTGAGCTCTAGGTTTCCTGGTGTATGTGAACTTCAGCATTTGTGTTTTTTGTTTGTTTGTTTGTTTGTTTTTTTGAGGAAGATTAGCCCTGAGCTAACTACTGCCAATCCTCCTCATTTTTGCTGAGGAAGCCTGGCCCTGAGTTAACATCGTGCCCATATTCCTCTGCTTTATATGTGGGACGCCTACCACAGCATGGCTTTTGCCAAGTGGTGCCATGTCCGCACCTGGGATCGGAACCAGTGAACCCCGGGCCGCCAAGAAGCAGAACGTGCGAAGTTAACCGTTGAGCCACCGGGCCGGCCCCGAACTTTAGCATTTAAATCTACCAATTATAAGACACATATGCTTCATAATGTCACTTTACATGGATTTGATGCATGATTGGGGACCCATCTTTATCAGTTGGCCTGGATGTGGCCTCAAATCATTTAAATGTATTGCACAGAGTTTGGTTTGACAGACTAAATAAAAATACTACATTTTTAAGGTAAATGTTGGAAAGCTGTAACAACTGCTCCTCACCTTCCGTCGTGAAGTCAGTGGAGGTCAGAGACAAGTCAGGCTGCCCCAAGCGCAGGCGAATTTCTCGAGAGATTGAAGGGGTGACAGTGATGCTGTGAACTGAGCTTCTTTTTCTTGCTCTCTTCCTCTCCCCCGCCTTCCCCTCCTTCCCGCCCTTCCTTCCTTCTTTGCTTTCTGTTGCACTGACAGACTGCTCACGGCGAAGGAGAGTGAGTAATTGCCCAGCATCTGCGGGCAGAGTCCATGGCAGGCCGGCTTCCTAAAAATGGGGATTTCTCTTCTCACAAAATTCACGAGGCTTTGACACCAGAGTTCCAGCGTGTCTGTGTATATTTCACAGGAAAATAGAGATGGCAGTAGCTTGTCAGCCAAGTTGCTCGCCCTCCCAGCCCTCCTCCGTGCTGATCTTGGGGCTTGGCTGCAGTCTGGATGTGAGGCTCGCCACCTGGCAGCTTGTCTCCAGCTAAACAGTCAACAAGGGGCCCAGTAAGCATGCAGTTGAGGTCATTGAGGAAGTACTGGGAAAACAGACACGTGCACAGCCACCTGCACACACACGTGCACACAACACACACATACAGACAGCACAGGCATACATCACAATACACACATGTGCACACATGCACCCACAATACACACATGTGTACACATGCACACATAGCAGACACATGCATACTTGTACAAACACATATGCACAACAATACACACGTGCTTAGCTCCACTGGATGGTAGAGTAGCTAGACTGAATGTGAAAAGCTGGAGAAAAACACTTATTCCACAGATGAGAAGTAGAGTCAAGTGAAGCTCCCGTCTCCTGGAGAACCTGGGAGGTCAGATGTGTGAGCCGTGCTTACTTCGCAGGCCCACCGCCACTCTTCTGTTGTGAGGGGTGCCAGGCCCCCCCTTTGTGCTTCCTCCTCCTCGTTTCTCCAGGCCTCGGTAGACCGGTGGAGATGTCCCTCCCAGGAGCTCGCTGTCCTTGGAAGCGATGGGAGCCATCTCTTACCGGGCAGGAGGCGCTGTGGCTGCTGGATCAGCCTATGAGTTTTGGGTATTCATAGGGTGACAAATTAGGAAGGGTGTGCTCAAAGGTTATTCAAATATTTCAGAGAAAGCATATTTGAGCTTGGAAAGGCCAGGGAACATTAATCAAATGTCAGCATCAGACACTTTGTGGGCTCTTTCTGGTCTGTGTTTGCTGAGCGCCAGTTTGGCATGGGCTCTGTGGGACGCAGGGCGGCCCCAGTGTGAGGGAACACGCGGCGAATTATGCGTGGAGCCTCTAGAAGCACTGGGAATATCAATGGAGTGCAGTGGGCAAGACGTGCTCTTAAAGAGCCCACAGTCGTTCCTCTCAAACAGATACCAAGGGTTCTACAATTGTGTTGACTGACAAGCAGAGTCTGTTCCCATTCCTGCCCCCTTGGGAAGTTAGATTAAAAGAGGGAAATATTTTGCATAAAACTGATTTTCACAGAATAATGACTGAAATGATAATGTGCCAGCAATGGGCATCAATCATAGTAGTGAAATATTGTCCTTCAAGATTCACACAACTGGCTATTCTCCCTCAGAAGTGTTTTTCCTCCCAGCATCCACCCCAGCATCCTTCTCGCTGCCCTCAGCAAGGCTTCCTTCCTCTGAAAGCCGAGCCGGCTCTGCCACCTTCTCTCCCCCAGCTACTATCAAAACAGTGCAGCAGCCCCAGTGACAAACTCAAGAGTCTTTTGACAGCAGCAATTAAACAACTTAATTAATGAGTGAATAAAAATGATAATATTTACTGAATGGGAGCATCCTGTTTTGCATTTTTATTCAAACTCTGCACCTGAAGAACACCACTGAGGAAAGCTCCCCAGCCCTGTTGTCGCCCGGGCTCGCCTCGCTCTCCATCTCTGTCTGGTTCGGTCTCTCTGTATCTCTGTTTGTCTGTCTCTCTCTGTCTCTGTCTCTTTCTCTTTGTCTGCCTCTCTTCTTCTTTCCCTCTTCTTTCTCTCCATCTCCTGCTTCCTTTGGATTGGCCTCAGAAGCCCCTAGGACAACAGACTCCGAGTAAGATGCGTATGTGAGGCAAATCCGTTTCCTGTTCCAAGGGGAATAAACTTCTACCTTTGTCATAGTCCTCGTTCACCCCTAAAAAACCTCATTCATACATGAAGGGCAATTTCAGGATACTTTTCTGAGGCTGAACTTTACATCAAAGTGGGTGATTAATTACTGATAAGGGTATCATAAAACATTAATGCATTTTGTAATTAACCAGCTTAGGAATGACATCCCCCATCTCTTCATGAGTGACGTGCTCAAGAGCACACACACTCACACAGAACTTTCTTTAAAATTCTTTATTTGGCTATTAATCTTGGCAGTGCCCTCAATGCATTACATTCTTTTTAAAAGCCACATATATTTTCCTCAATGAAATATATAATCCATCTCGAGTGTAAGAAAAGCCCCATACATAATTATTTCATTGTGACAGACAGTGAGTTTTTTAGCTATTATTTTTGACGGTGCTGTCATGGATGCCAAATGTGTATTGTGGTGGGAGCCAGCCAAAGTCGG